AAAAGAAAAGTGAGAAGTTAATTTCGGGACGGAGGGAGTAGTATTTTCATATAAAAATGGTATTTTGATATAAAATTATGATAGTTAAAATATATTTTTTCACCATCTCTATCATGTGATGTTTGCATTTATTTAATTATTACAGATGTTATAACTTATAAGAACCAAAATCAGCCTTTAAAATCAAGTTAAAGTGTGAGCATGCCTGAAACATACGGTTCACTAAGATATGAACACATTCAAATTGATAGTGATATTGATTCGTTCGAATATAAGAATAAATGTTTTATCATCCCATGTTATGAAAGCCCCATTTTTTCTTAAAAGTGTTTTAACCTTTTCATCATTGATTCAATTTTTATAAGACATATATCAACATTTATAATTTTTTACGATCTTTCATGTGACACAGTATTGCCTATATAGATTTTAAAAAATAAATCTCAAGATTTATTAAACAATCTTCTTATTTTCCAACTTCAACACGGTTTTTCCCATGTTGAATATAAAAAATAGTTCCTAATATATGATGTAAATATAAGAAAAATACATTTCTTGAGAAAAGTTATTGTATGTACGTTTTGTATTTGAATACATTATTTATTTTTTATTCACACTAATATTCAAGTGTGGATGAAAGTTTTTTCTCCTTCCCTCAATTTCGAATGACCAATTAATATTCTTTAGTGACAACGATAACCTTGACTCGGTGTTGTTAACAAAAAAAATTAAAGAGTCAATGCTTACATCTTAAACGCAAGCAAAAAAAATATACCGAATGAAAAGATTTGAAGTATGCAAACTTTGATTCACGATTTTCTATTTATGTACTTATATAAGAAAATAGTAGTCTCGGTAAATTACATTTTAAAAAAATAAATTCAAACGTGTTAATTTCTCAAAAAAATCACTCCCTTTTTATTTTTTCACCACGTGGCGTCTTTCTACTTCAAAATGATGGTTGAGCAGCAAAGGAAACGATGCAGCTGGCTCGGAGATGCAATTGGTGGGGTCCAAGATAAAGAAAACCCTATTTTTTTCAATTGAACGGGGTAATTTCTCTCTTTCATATGTAGTGCTTTTAGGTATGAGGTAATCTATCTAACAATTGAGCAAAGGAACTTTCTCTCTTATATGTAAAGATTTTAGGTATAAAAAGATAGGCTTGCTAATAATCTAGTGGAAAAAATTTCTCTCTCATAAATAGTGCTTTTAGATATTAGAAGATACGATTGCTAACAATTGAGCAGAGGAATTCAGTGTGTGAATTCTCTCTTATGTAATGTTTTTAGATATTACAAAATAAGTTTGCTACCAATTGAACAACATAGCTTTCTCCCTCATATCAATATTTCAAAATTAACTTCCCACTTGAAATAAACTTACTGAAGGGTAAATTATATTGTTTCGACACTGTTGAGCGGGATAATTTTCTTTCTCATTTGTATTGCTATTAGGTATAAGAAGCTAATAAGATAAGTTTGCTTAAGATGAACAGGAGAATTTTCTCCCTCATATCTAGTGCTTTTTAGTGTGAGGTAAGACAAGCCAATTAACAATTGAGTAAGAGAATTTTATCCCTCACATGTAGTGCATTTAGACATAACAAAGATTAAGGCATAAGTAGTGTTTTTAAGTATAAGAAAATGCACCTAACAATTGAGAGAAATGATTTTCTCTAGCATATATAGTGCTTTTGGGTATAAGTCAAACTGGCTAACAATTAAACGGGATAAGTTTCTCTCTCATATGTACTGCTTTTAGTTATTAGAAGATAAGTTTACTAACAATTGAGTGAAATAATATCTTTATCTCTCATATATAGTACTTTTAAGTATGAGATAAGCCGGCTAACAATTAAACAAGATACTTTTTTTCTCTAATATGTAGTGCTTTTAGGTATGAGATGAGATAAGACGTCTAACAATTGAACGGTACAAATTTCTCTCTCATACGTAAGAGTTTTAGATATAAGAAGATAAACTTGATAATAACTGAGCGGTTATTGAAGAAAATCTTTTTCTTCAAAAAGTGGTATACCTTTTTCATTTTTAGTTTTTTTTTACAAAAATATACGAGTATATTAGAACTCATAATTTCTTATGATCTTTCAAATGACATCAATATTGTTGCATATATAAAAATTTAAAAAATCTGAAAGTTTATTAGGCAATATTTCTATTTTCCTACCCCAATACGGATTATTCGGTATTAAATAAATAAATAAATCATAATATATCTACAAAATAAGAATAGTTGATAAAAATAAGAGTTATTAACTATTAGTGACTATAATTATGTTTAAAGTTATACTCCTTCCGTCCCATTAGAAGGTTCCCACTTTCCTTTTTTGGACGTCCCGTTAGAAGGTTCCCATTTCCATTTTAGGAAACAATTAACAAACTTAAGTGACAAATTAATCATTAAATATTAAAAATAATACATTTATAACATCACAATTATCAATACCAACTACATTATAATATATACCTATTAAAATTATTTCTCAAAATATACTCGAAGTACTTTGTTTAATTATTGCCTAAATAACTGTGCCGTTTTGCTATAGGAAACTTCCAACGGGGCGGAGGGAGTATAAAAGATCATTTTTTCTTTACCAAAATAAATGTCACCAACTTTCTGTATACTACCACATACTTAAATAGATGCAACATCTTATAGGTTTATTATACTCACATATTTTAATTTGATTATATTTTATTTATTAATGTATTGTAAATTTATTTTTTGAGCTTTATGAGTTTAAAAAGTGATCGGGAGAAGATATTAAATATCATAGCTTCATCCCCTCATTTGTAGTGGTTTTAGAAATAAGAAGATAAGCTTGCTGATAATTGATCGGGAGAAATTTCTCTATCGTATGTAGTGCTTTTAGGTATTATATAAGAAATGTTTTTTTAACAAATGAGCAGGCCGGGGAATTGAGCAAAATATTTTTCTCTCTCATATGTAGTGTTTTTAAGTATTAGAAGTTAAACTTGCTAACTACTGAGAGGGATTATTTTCTCTTTCATATGTAGTGTTTTTAGGTATAAGAAGATAAACCGGCTAAAAATTGAGCGAGAGAATTTTCCCTCTCATATGTAATGGTTAGGTATAAGAAGACAAACTTGCTAATAATTGATTGAGAGATAAATCTCTCTCACATTTTAGAACTATTTTAACTCATGATTACCAAGTGCTTATTTAACTAATATTTGTTAATATTAATATTTGTTGTATTAACTTAAAATTTATGTCATTCACTTAGTGTACTTACTCTTTTTAGAACTGTATTTAATTTAAAATTCATTTAACCATGAAAATTAATAGATAGCAAATTCTAATGAGTGATGTCAAATAATATTCCCTAATATACTATTCATTATATATTTATTGTATGACTTATATTTTATGATATTAGCTTATTGTACTCTTTTTTTTCTAAAATATATACGTAGTATTTTGTTTTAATATTTAATTAGATCATGAGTAAAAATATATGATCGACTACTATTTTCCGTGCGTATGCACGAGTACTATACTAATTATTAGTAAAAAAGTTACTCTCTTCATTCCATTATTATCTTCAAACTTTCCTTTATCGTATGTCTCAAAAGTAATTAAGTATCTCTTCTTTTTTTTGCGAAGAATTGGTTGTTCACAGTGTTTCTTATACATTTCTCTCTCCTCTGCACAATTCTCCGCCACACAATACTCACTATCTTAATCCCCGTGCTGATTGCCTGATTGTACTTTAGATGATAAATATGGTAGGGAGTATTTTTTTAAGAAAAGTGAGTATTTATTTATATTGGTGTTTGTTGAGTTGAAGGAAAGATCTTATGAATTGATAGATTCACTTACGTACTATATTGACGTTTGCTGAGTTTTATCCACTTTTAATCTTCCGACTATTATGTCAGTAACACTTGTGGAACTCGATTTTTTGTAAAAGGACAAAAATGAAAAAAAAACTCTCGAATAGAATACTAATGTAAATAAAATAGTGACAAGGTTAAGGAGCGCATACTAGTCAATATGGAGTTGTTTAACTTAGATTTTATTATAAGAGAAAATTGGAAAGGGTGGTGCTTGCTAAATACTCTCTCCCTTGAAATTTTGTCATCTTTGAGTTTTTTGATCAAGCATGTTCAACTTTGACCAATTTTATATTTTATAGAAAATTATTTAAAATATAAAAAAGATATGAAAATGTTCATAATCAAAAGTGTTTATTATAATACGTTTATCTTTCTTATATTCATATGTTATTGTTATCTTATATTTATTTATTTTTATCTTACCCGTTTTATCTTACTTTTTTCCTTCTTGTTTGTCTTTTCTTTTTGACATCGATATCATGGATTGATTCATGTTAGCCGACATCAAAATCTTTTGGGATTAAGGCTTAGATGTGGTTGTAATTTTACACTAATCAAAATCATAGTCCAAGCTTTATCACCATTAACTTGAAAAAAAAAAGATCAAATTTTAAGAGACAGTATACATTTATATTTGTAAACATAGCTTGTAGTGTGCGACGAACAAAAGGAGAACCTTGGGGCCTCAGAAAACGGCGAAAAGGTTTGCCATTCAGAGAGTGCAGTTTTAGTTCATCCGGAACAAATTTATGATTTATATGTGCTCCAAAATTTCATTTCACAATATCGATCTTATTTGGGACACAGTAATATTGAATTAATTATCGTTGTGATGAGATGATCAACGCATATTGTTAATTGTTGTGAATGATTCAAGAATCATGACAGACAACATTTTCATTGTAATCCGAATGACCTTTTCTACCATCATTTATTTTCTGTTCGGTTTTAGTTGCAATGATCCGGTTTTTACGTTTGTCAACACACAAGTTTGACCATTAATGTTTTTCATTCCTTATTAGTTAAAAAATAAAAAAAAAATCAAAAATGAGAGGAATCTAACAATGTTATTCAAAAATTTAATTTATACTTCGTAATACCTTAATAAATAAAATGTAGTTAAAGTAAAGAATATGAATAGCGTAAAACGCACGAATGTTGCAACTAAAACAGAGGTAGTACATTATTATTTGCTGTGATTCATCCTGTAGAAAACAAACGGATGTGCACTTTTGTCTCTATATAAATGATAAAAACCATAAAAGATCTGCAAAAAGGCAAATACGCAATGGATCATCCGCCATACACTAATAATTTACAACTTTGGACAAAATAGGACTTTGATCAACTGCAATCTCAGTAGTTGATATCCGGGGGGAAAACCTCGAGTATCACTAATGTCTGGACCGATTTATCTCAGTGAAAGGTTGAAGGCCAGAAGGCAGAAACATGATTTATCTAGTGCCGAGAGATCACTCTTCTCAAAAAAATCATAAGAGCATTGAACTTGAACCTTCTCAATAACAAGTAAAGTTCAGGTATTGTAAAGAAATCAGATGCACAAACGGAAGAGAATCCACTGCCTAGCTGCTCACAGGGGCCAATGACCGTAAGATAGAAGGAACCCGATAAAGAAAGGAAGCAACTGATCTTAAGAGAGCCCTATTATTGATTGGAAAACAGAAAACATGAAATATGATTAATTTTTTTACAATAATTTTATATGTTGAGACAGACTACTTACCTTTTGTAGTAGAAACCAAAAATAAGGAAGAGTTTGAACAAATATCAAATATAAAATATTTGAGCTTAAACTAATGTATTATTTCCACCTGCATTTTATTCAAAACTTTCCCTATAATTTCCCCAATTTTCTTTGCCCGCCCAGCATTTTCCAATTCTCAAACCAACCTAGAGCACTTGAGGATGGATGCAAGATTGTAAAAGTTGAACATGAGTAAATCAGGATAAGATAAAGATTTAATTTACCAAATATGTGTTTGACTTGTTCTGTTTAAGCATGGTGGAGAGCCCAAATCATCTACTTGAGTGGAGGAGGTAACAAGTCTCTGAAACTTAGTTGATAACTCCTTATATGACAGAACTTCAGATGGCTGCACTCTCTGAATGCCAGCCTTCAAGTGCTTCATTGTAATTTCTGAGGCTCCAAGGTTCTCCTGATTTGTTTTATGTTTAAAGGTTTTCATCTTAGCTTCTACAAGTACGTATGTTTGTACAAAATAATAATGACAAATTGTTCAGCAGTATCTTACTTCAATGGCAGTAATGGCTGCTTCACGGCAAATAAGTGATATATCAGCACCTGTACATCCATTGGTGAGACGAGCAAGCTCTTTTATGCATACATCAGAACTACATGGAATCTTGCGAAGATGAATCCTGAATACATCCTCACGGTCATTTTCATCAGGTGGCCCCACGTATAGGAGCCGATCGAAACGACCTAGCAAATTTGACATATTACTTACGAGTTATTCAGGTATTTAGGTTTCAATAGGAGATCGTGGGTCCAAGCAGAAAGACTACTAATGCAAGCAAGGAGAAGAGGTAGCACCTGGTCTTAAAAGGGCAGGATCTATCTTGTCTGGACGATTTGTAGCAGCAAGGACGGTTACATTAACTCTTTGATGCAAACCTGGTGTAGGAAACATTTTTCAGTATTCTCAGTTTAAGGTAAATATAGCTCATTTGGTGAGGCCATAATCGCTGAAGTAGCCAACTCAGTAGAAATTGTTGATCTGTTTAATTATCTACAAAAATATAATAAAAAATACTACCTCCGTCCCCCTAAGATTGGGACAAGAGGGAGTGGTGCGGTTATTAAGAAAAGTGAAATGGTGTGTTTGGTATTGCGATGGTAAAGGGTGAATAAAGTAAGAAGAATACAACCACTCAAATATTACCAAATATGGTATAAGACAAAGTGACAAACTTAGTGGGACTGACGAAAAAGGTAAAATGAGACAAATATATGGAGATAGAGGGAGTATATTTAAATTGAACTTGAGAAAACAATTTCAAAAAAGTAGAATTACCAATTTCAGCTGGAAAAAGTAACTCATGCACTACATTTTTCCATTACTATCCAATTCAGCCAGCACAGCAAGGTCAAATAAATTAGTGTGCGTGAAAAAAAAGGCTGAGAAGCTGAAAATGAAGCCTAACAAATGCCCAAATGAGCTCATAATAACAAAATACTTCTGGTCTGGTTAAGTTTGGTGTGGTTTGGTCTGAATTGGTTTGGTAGATGTTTATTCGATGTGTATTTTACTATTGTTGAAGTTTGGTCTGATTTGTTTAAGCTTGGTCTGGTCTAAGACTGAAACTAGTCCAATAAAAACATCATAATTATGCAACATATGAACATACATTTGAAACTAACGGTGTAATGATGGTCAGAGTCACTAATATATGATATTTTCGCAATGAAGTTTATACCGAGAAAAGAAAACTTTATAATGACAAATACTAATTAAACAGCTTATAAATATACATTTAAAACTGAAATTTTAACGATGCTTAGGAAAAGGTGTTGAAATGCTAATTTATGATACTTTTACATTAAAGATTGGAAAAAGAGTCAAATACACTCTTCTACTGTTCTAAAAAATCATTTATGCCCACATACTTCAAAAACCATCATAGGAGTGCATTTACATGTAAAAAGCCATCAAATGAACCACATGACCGGAGAGCAACTGCCTATAACAAGTTATTGACATTATACAAAAGTTCTCTTTCCTATATTTACTCCTGTGGTTCTGACATTATATTTACGGTAGCCTTTTCTCCTTCCTTTATTTACTCTGTGCCATCCGTTTTTTTTAATTTTCTTTCTCCTTTTTTCTTATTTCTCAATCGTGGTCTGGCTTCTTAGCTACACCCATTTATTGTATTTATTTTTTCTTTTTTTCTCTTCATCCTATCATTGAAACGATTTATATTTTAAGTTTTTTGACTTTTTCTTCCTTTTTTCCTTATTTCCTTTTTTAGCTGTTGTCTTCTCCCAAGAATTTTTTTTAAAACATTTCTTTCTAATTATTTCAATAAATTATCTATCATCTTTGATTCATTAATTATGTTCAATCTTGAAAAAAAGAAATTAGCCAATTTTTATTTGTTGTTGTTGGATACTTATTGTATGACACGACTTTTAATTGCCTATATTAAAACTTTTATTTGTCTATATTGAAATGTAGTCCTTACCATTGAAATTGATTAACATTATTACATATTTGTATTTTGTAACTCTGAAACGGTTAAAGGTGTAACTTTAAACACGGTTAAAAAATACACACTTTTTGAACACATTTCCAAAATCTTCCGCACCTACAATTTTGTCCGTAAGGTTAGACCATATACAAAAAATGTCGGCCGTAAAACTCAAATTTTATAGACAATAATAGTGTGGCACACACAAAAATGTTACATAATAGGTAAAAAAATCATATACTTTTTATCCAGTCATAAAAAAACCGTATCTATAAATTTTTGTAGGCAAAGCTAGGCCATGGATAAAAAAATATCGGAGAAGTTCAGTTTTAAAGACAAAAAACATCTAGCACACACAAAATGTTCCATAAGCGGTAAAGATCTGTACACTTGTGCCACGGATTTATTGTTTGTAAATGTGGATTTTTCAGAATGGTATCTTTTCTGTGCCCGAACCTAACAAACAAAAAATATTGTTACGAAGGAGTTTTAAAATGTGTACAAAAAATATACACCATTAACCCCATTCAAAACATTTTTGTATGTACGTGACACTTATTTTCTGTAAAATTGGATTTCTTCGATCGATAGTTTTTATCCAAGACCGTGTTTTATAGAAATATGTGTCTGTACAAAGAATTTTGAAATGTGTACACAAGTTACTCAATTTTTTCAACATTGTATGAAATTTTTGTTTTTCGATCTGTGACTGACATTTATTGTCTATAAAATTGCATTTTTCAACTGACATTTTTATCCTTCGCCTAACTTTACAGAAAAATGTGTACAAACAGTATACAATTGGATTGTTGAAGGGACACATGTTGTAGCAGAAAGAGAAGCAAAACATGTTTTAAATTGGACTAAACATTTCTGGTGCTGTCAGTTTAAGTCTTGTCTTATCTGATCGAAAAAACATGATTTATTTTATAATTATTAATAAAGTATGATCTGATCTGGTATGGATTATTTAATTAAGTTTGACATGATCCGATTTGAAACTGAAAAACAATTCAATTACATTATTCCAAGAAAGAAGGAAGAAGAAATAAAGGAAAAGAAGAAGAAAGAGCTAAAAGGAAAATAAAAAGACAAAAGAACACGGAAACGGTGAAGAAAATGGGATACAATTATACAAATGAAACAAACATTTAAAAAAAAACACAAAACGAAAGAGAGTAAAGACAAAGAAATAGAGGGAAACCAATTAAAATGAAGGCTAGGAAGGAAGAAAACAGCCACTATAATAGAGTGAAGTAGAGAAAAGAAAATGAAATAAAATGTGAATGACCTGCTATTATAGGTTGTTATTAGGTCACTTGACCTAATTGATGGATTTTTTATAGTAAGTGTATTTGGGTGATAACTTTTTTAGTAGAACGGTTTATGTGATGTTTTTGCAATAGTAAACGGGCTTATTTGACCCTTTTCCTTAAAGTTTATACTGATGAAAGACAAAAGAAACATTGGCTTTCAAACTTGACTTACCATCCAATTCAACAAGAAGTTGGCTCAACACCCGATCTGCAACAGAGACCCCATCACTCTCTTTCCCACGGACAACAGCAAGACCATCAATTTCATCAAAAAATATAATAGAGGGGGCATTTGCCCTTGCTTTGGCAAACAGGGCTCTAACAGCCTTTTCTGATTCACCTACCCATTTGTTGAAAAGTTCAGGTCCCTTCACAGCAAGAAAGTTTAACCCAGCCTCAGAAGCAACAGCACGAGCCAAAAGAGTTTTACTACACCCAGGAGGACCAAACATCAAAACCCCAGTTGGGGGGCGGGTCCCTATCCGTTTAAACGCTTCCTGGTGCTTTTGGGGCCACTCAACAGCTTCCATCAGTTGCATCTTTACCTCCTTCTGCCCACCAACATCTTCCCAGTTGACCTTAGGAACCTCTATTATTACCTATTTTGCAAGATTGACCATGTTAGAAATTCTCAAATTCATATAGACTGCAGAACCATGAAAAAACTAAGAGCCTGTTTAGTAGGCTATATTCTGGCTTATTGGCCTTATTAGCTGAGCTGTTAATCAAACACCTAACTGTTGTTACTGCATTGATTGAATTGACTAATGATAAGTAGTGCATGAGTTATTTTTTGTCAAAGTGGATGAAATGATAGTTTTAGCTTTAATGTTTTCATAATCTTTTTTTATATAACTTAATTAAATACTACTACCTCCGTCCCAAAATGATGGTCCTGTATTTCCTTTTTGGGATGTCCCAAAATGATGATCTTGTTTCCCTTTTTGGAAAGAAAGATGTGGTCCATATCATTTCACTTTATTATACTCAAATCTCAACCACAACTTTTACCTTTTCAACCACTATTAAAACTTGTGCCCAAAAGAAATGAGACCATCAAATTGGGACGGAGGGAGTAGTATACAAATCTGAATAGTTTGTTAGTAGTCCAATTGATTCCAAAAAACTTCTGCAGCTTCAAACATATCAAATAGGCTTTAAATTTGATAAGCGCAAACAATACTACTCCGTATAAATCCATAAAGCGCAAAAGGTTAATCAATTTGAAACCTGAGGCGACATAACACAATATTTACAGTGAATCGTTGTTCTTGATTACTAAATTGATCAAGTATAAGCGCCTAAGCTCATATCTAGTTAGCATTTATGTTCCAAGGTAACACTTGAAGGCTTCAATAACAAATTATTAATCCACATATTTCTGCATGCCTGCAGCTCTCATTATATAATAGTGATAATACATACAAATCAATGTTTATTTGTGTAAAACATTTACAAAGTATCCCTTCAAATCCAACAATAATGGACTGATGCATACCTCTCGCATGGCACTTGGCCTTACTTTAAATCTTGCACTTTCAAAGTCATCCACCGTCACCGTTAGAATTCTTTTATATGCAGCAGACATTTCATTTACATTCTCCCCATTCCAAATGTCTGACAAAATGCATGCTCCTGTTATTGATGATGATCTCTCCATATTGACTTTCCGGAGTTCACTTTCTTCTACGACTTCCACATGTCTATTAGAGCAACCATTCTGAGTTAACGATTTGGCATATGAGTCGACAGATGATGTTTTAAAGTTTATATGCCTCCTGAGAGAAATCAGGGCAGCTTCATTACAAAGAGCTGCTAGATCAGCACCAACAAACCCATGAGTAGCTGTTGCGAGAAGTTGTATATCCTTTTCCAAAAGGGAGTGATCCATCTTATCAAGAAGTGTCATTAATATTTCATAACGTTGCCCTGGAGAGGGTACACCTGTCAAAATTTATCCATCAAACAGTCATGCACAGAAGCATTGAAACAGCAAGGATGAATCACTAAGAACTAAGAAGTTAATAAGAGAAATACAGAATGTATTTGGATCTCAGGGAATTGCATGGTAAAAAGAGTTGTTTTCTTGTGTTTGGTCTTTACCAAGGAAAATGAGAAGGAAAATAAGTTCTGGTTAGTGTTCTATATTTTCATAAGTTTAGGATTCTTAGTCTTTTAATAATATAAATAGATAATTAAAAATGGTTTTGAACAAATATCAAAAAATAATTTAGTGACAATTTTTTTTCTTTCGCTCACATATCCTTTCCTTCCAAATTTCTGCTACATTTTCGTCCATGTTCTCTTTCCCTGTCATTTTCAGACTTCCAAACGGACACAAAGTGAAACGAATTATTATATTCCAGATAACCTATTTCAATTTCTCGGTCAAATCTTCCAGGTCGTCTAAGTGCAGGCTCAATGCTGTCGGGCCTGTTGGTTGCTGCAATAACAAGCAGCCCATTAGTTCTACTTATTCCATCCATCAAGTTCAACAGAGTTGCAACCATTCTTTGAGAAAGCTCATCACTCCCATCAGCACGCTTAGGTGCAATGGCATCCACCTCATCAATGAACACCTGCAAATGTCACACGTTAATATCAGCTGAAGAAGAAAACCATGATTTAGTATGGATAAGAATTGGAAAGAGATATTTTCAATTCTTCAATAGGAAAATGTCTAACCACAGCAGGTGAAGCCTGGGCAGCCGAATCAAAAATTTCATGCAATGCTCGTTCACTCTCCCCGTGATATTGACTAATGATTTCAGGCCCATTCACTGAGAATAAATTAACACGAGTGGAATGAGCACACAATCGAGCCAAACAAGTCTTTCCTGTTCCAGGTGGTCCATGAAGAAGCACTCCTTTTGTAGGTCGTAAACCCATGCTGTGAAACAGTCAACTAGAGCAATCAGTCTAATACTAACGGTAACTTGCTTGCAAAATAAGAGTCACTCCTTCAGCTTCCATAACGTTTATAATACTGTTAACAATCCTATGAAACAAAAGGCACACAATTTCCATTACAAGCATGCGATGCAATTATTAACGTGGCAGCGAGAATACCTAGCCACAATGCCTTTCACCGCTGATGATATTATTATCTCTTTTAGCTCTGTGGTTTCCTTCATAAGGCCACCCAACTTAGAAACATCAAGCCCAATGTTATTCCTTTCATCACACTCATGCTCTGTCAACACATCTCCTCTTTTTGAAGAACCCTCCTCGACTTTTTGTGGGAGATGTACATAAACTTTAGTTTCTTGGTCAATCAAAAAAGAAACATTACTATGGACCTCCAAATCTGTTGAATGTGGAAAAGGTTTCTGGTCACTTTTTTCCTTCGCACAATGATTCCCTTGTGTAGAGACTTTTCTAGCACATGTAACAACAAATGCACAGACCCTAGAAAGTACAGGTACTGTCACAATATTTCCCATAAGTAAACTTCGAGAATATAAAGAAAACCCAATGCATGTTTGTACAAGTTTTCTTGAGCTCTCATCCTCTAGAACTTCCTTAATAAAAGTTGTGTTGCTACATGTATCATACAGATCAGATGAATCTGGGACTGATTCTTGATAACTTGATGCACTTGACGACTCACAAGGTCGGGCAGCTGATTCTATTTGAGAGGTAATGGTTCTCTTCCCCATCAAAGTGTCCTTCATTGACACAGGTGATATGTATAATTCTTTGCATGATGAGAAGCCACTGGCTTTATTGTTGGGTAAATTGTCGTTTCCGTTTAAGATACTCCTTAATGGTTGATCGACTAAAGGATGTACAAATATAATCCTTCCAGAAACAGGACATCCCATGGACCATGAAAGGTTTGAAGAAAATCGCACAGCATGCTTTAAAACCTACAGATAGAGCAGTGTCAGGTTAGATGCAGATTTCTTACTCCTCCAAATGGATGCAAAGTGATATACGTCACAAATATATGTCACAAGGTAGACATATTTGATAAAGGGAATGGGAACCAAGCTTCTTATTTCCCTAGATGTATTAAAACGTGGGAGAGATACAAATGTTGATGAAGAAGATTTACCACTTCTTAAGCTACCACATTTTGGAGCTATATAAAATCTTTGACAACTGGACTGCAAAGGAAAAACTTTGCATATGTGTGTGTGTAAATTTATATTTATATATGTGTGTGTGTCGATGACTCAATGTGTGGCATATATAGATACACATGCGCGCACGCGTGTGTGCATAATTATGCGTGTGTATGCCTAAATCTTTTAATAATGCTTCATATTCCATCCCTGTACTCAGTCTCATATTTTTCTTCCTTTTTTTTTACATTTCTCAAAAATTCCCCATTCCCTTTTAAGTTTTAAATAGAAAAAGCAGAATAAAAATCAGTTTTTCATAAGCTTGTTTCCCCTGGCTTCTAAGAAACTGCTTCTAAGAGCAATTTTGAGTACTCATAAGTACTTCTGCACTTTCACCCAAACACTCCAATACTTGCTTCTACTCCCCGAATGAGATCCAAACACCCCTTTATTTTTGGTTAATTAAGGTTTGTCAAGGATAACTTAAGTACTAACTTGTACTACGTATGTTGTAGCTCATAAACAGGTCCTCTTGTACCGTTGAACTTTGGCACACATAAGTCGTCTTAAGGAATATAATAATAACATCTTTAGTAAGTTTATGTGGTTTTGAATAAATGCTTTGAAGTTTGCTACTACTCCAAAAACAATATGTCATTGAAGTTCACAAGTACTAAGACATATTAAGGTGATCAGGACATCAAAATTACAATTGCTTCACCGAATTAATCGAATACATGCATCTCCGTTAGTTTCACGGTTTCACCATTTTTCTCATTGAAAAGAAAACACTAACGGAAGCATTACCTTATAAGATTCATAAGCAGACATTTATTTCTCAAGGGTTACACCATTATAAATATTTGTACAGAGAAATAAAGTTTGAAACAACTTCTAATTTATATTCAAACCTTACAAGATGGGAAAACAGTTGCAAGAACAAAATAGGTCCCTGCTTCATCAGACAATTGCTCCATGAATTCCAATCCAATGTGCCTCAAGCATTCACTTGGCAAAGCACTAAGAGGGAAATTACCGAGTGAATCCATAGAGGAAGCAATGGACACCTGTTTATTACATCGATATAAGACAACTAAAAAGCAAGAGGCAAAGCCTTCAAAAAGAAAAAATCAATCACAAATTACAAATTAGCCAACACTACCCATACAAACAGGTAAGGGAATTTTTATTGTCCGTTTGTTCAAGGTGAACTTGCCTTTTCAGGTTTAATTTGTAGTGCACTTCATTTGGAAAAGTATGTTGATGAAATGAACTTGGGTTTTCGCAGAATCTTGGAGAACCTCCAAAAATCCTATTTGTAAGTTAGTACATCCTCCATCCAAAAAAAACTTTTATTATGTTCACGTAGGTGAAACTAGTAATTATCTAAACACATTTTTTGTAATTATATTTACTGGACTTGGGTTCCTAAGGTTAACTTGAGTTAACTCAAACAAAATTGAACCTTAAGTGAACTTAAAGTTCCCATTTTTAACTTAACCATTAATAATGTTGCAAACAAAAAACCAAACAATTAATAACATCACAAACCTATATTCGAAAAGTCATTCTTTAGCCATAACTTGAATTGAAAAACAGCAGAAAAGACTAACTACAACCATTTAAAGTGAATTCTAAATAAGCAGGGCGTGAGAAACACCATGGGAAGGAAGATGAATGTGGTTCATTTACCGAAACTAGGGAGCCGGGAGCAATGGAAGAAGCGACCATGGAAGCTTCGGAGAGCCAAATTTTACAACCTCTGGCTCCGGGAGAAGACAGTTCATTAACACGGGAAGTGTCTTCAGAGACGCGGCCAGTGAAAGCTGCCGTTGATATGAAATACGGGAACTTTCTAGAAGCTTCTTCAAGGTACCTTTGGAGCTCATCTTCACTGAGTTCCGAGACCAGGTTCAAGTTCGAAATCGGCGAAGGACTGTAAGGTGATGAAGGCACCGAGGGAGATGGAGAACCAGAGGCGTTAGAATCTGCCCGCGAAAGCCTGGAGGATGATTTCGAGTTTTTCTTCTTCGAAGAAGGCATCAGAGATTGAGTTGTTTTTACCGGAATGTTCAATTTAGAAGCAAGGAAGGTTTAGAATTCGATTTCAAAATTTCACGTTCCAGTGATGCCTGCTAATGCCCAGGGTTTAGTGATTAAACCTCGGGTCAAACAAGTGAAGGAGTATGTTTAGTACTCGTATTAATATACTACGTATATTATACTCCAAGTATGTAATCATAGTCACGTCATGTTTGATGTACACACCTTATTCACATCATGTTTGTGAAATTTTTTTTCTGTGAACCGTTTGTTTGTGCAAAACGTTGTCTGTGAATCGATGTTCACAGACAAAAAAAACTTTCACAGACATAGGTGTGTATAAGAGTGTGTACAAACATCATTTTTGTAATACTAATTTCAAAAAAAATTGGGGCCCATAAATCGGGAGGTCTTGTTCCGTTGAATGTGCTAAATTGGGGCCCATATATATATATATATATATGTGTGTGTGTGTGTGTGTGTGTGTGTGTGTGGCAGTTTGTATCAGGTGGGTCTGACGTGAACCGACGACAGGACGAGGCTATTTGGGGCCCTTCGCGAATTTCTTTAGGAATTTTTTTGAGCATGTTTCTCATAAAGTCTAGTTTATTCATACCAAATTTCAGCTAAAAATTCAATCGGGAGGTCATTCAAATAAATACTCTACAAAAATTGTGTTTTGTATATATTCCCTCCGTTTCTAAAACAAGTTCTCCATTGCTTTTCACAATTATTAAGAAAAAAAATTATTGAGGGTAAAATTTATTGTTTTGACACTGTTGGGGCACTGTTTGGCATTATCCAAAAAGAAAATGGGGAACTTGTTTAAGAAACAAAGGGAGTATATATATATATATATATATATATATATATATATATATATATATATATATATATATATATATATATAAACAGTGCAGTTTTGTTCAAAAATTCAATTAACTGATTTCGCGATTGAATTTTTAGATGAATGTTGATATGCATGAACAAAACTTGATGATGAACACCCTCAAAAAAGTTCATCAAAAAAATCCACCGAGAAGGACCCCAAATGCTCTCTATAGAATGATGAGTCCTGTCAGGCCGGCCTGACATGATTACTAATACACACACACAAGGATGAGTTCAAATGAGAAGACATCTTATAGGGGTTGTTTGAAAAGTGCATCAGATAGGGGTTATTGTGCATAATATCGATAATTTGGACAGTTGAGATAAATTCTCATTTTACACGTTAAGACTTTTTGCATTTGATCCAAATTATATATTTGTCATAGTATTCTATACATGGTAAGGTAAAATTTTGCACTCAATGGTAGTACAAATTGCAAATACCTAAAAATTAAAAATAGTTAACAATTTTTAGTCTCTCTTAAAAAATCTCTATATTTCTTTTCCTATAAACTATTGCAGATGCTTCCTTACTCCGAGTTTTATAAATTGTTTCCTATTTATTTCAAAATATGATAATTATTAATCACTTTGTATCATTGATTTTCTCACACTTTTTCTTTTTCTTCTAATCACTAGATTTGTGTAGCTCCAAATATTGTAATATTTGTGTAGCTCTAAATCATTCTTACATTATGTCTTCTTTTCCAATGTAATATTAATCACATAAAATCTTTTTTAATTATTGCACATGTCTCGATTCCAATGGGATAAACGCGGTATTACTAATCTATTCATTGCTACCAAATCAATATCTAATTGTAATGTATATTTATACCTCTCTCGCATTTTATGTTTCACGCTGTCAAATGGGCTAGCACTCCCCGGTCTTACCCAATCCGTGGTGGGATATGCTTTTCATGACTTAGTCGGTATAACTACCTAATGGTGGATAATATATTCTAAAAGGGTTTCAAAGGTTGCCATGTAGATCAATGTAAAAAATAACATGCCAAAACACCTTGAAAATAATTACCTTGAAGTATATATATGGTCTGGTTCTGGCAAAAAACATATATTCATGGGAAATGAGAATGAACTAAAATGGTGCACATTATATTTAATCGAGGCCACGCACACTTATAGTTGAAATAATTCATAATTTAAAAAAGACCAAAACGTTGAGTTTATTTAGAAAAATATAACAACATTTTATGATTTATGTAGTGCACTTTTCTATTTCAAATACTCTGTGACACATAATTTCTCTAATCTAACGTTGCATGTTCATTCTCATTTCTTTCACCCATTGTCATTTGATCTGAATTCTCTCTTTACATAAGAAATCAATACACTAAGTACACAATATTTGATGAGTTTAATTAAAAATGTTATTAAATCATTGTTATACTGAAATTTGTTAAACATTAAATGGTATATAGAAAAACACTCATATACAAAAAAAAAAATAAAGATACAATTAGATCTTTTGAGTAAATATTTGTAAATATATGAAATTCATATATTTATATATATATTAATGAAATTCATTCACAATAAAAAGTTTATGAATTTAAAAGTCAATTAACTTTGTATATATCAATAAAACACAACAGTCCATATACCATACACATTACATATCTCTTGTGGGGAGAGGAGCAACTTTCAGCTAAATTTATATGCAAGGTAAAGACATTTCAAATCACTTTCATTTATTTAAATTCAATTATATGATATTAATTTGTAAATAATAATGATAATAATGATATTATTATTATTAGTGTTGTTATTATTATTATTATTATTATTATTATTATCCATGAAACACCGGAACCGGTAATGCATTTTGAATTCGGAAATTCTCCAAGCACTTACTTTCCACTAACGTATACGTAATAATAGTGTAATAGGGAGTAGTATTTTCCATTCCACGTTTTTCAATATTTCCATACTCCTCAATTCCTCATGTCTCCATGCAATATAGAATGGAAATTTCTATCTGTACATCTTTTATACATCCTCTATTTTAGGCAGTGGAGGACCTAGGGAAGGGCCTAGGGGGGCAAGTGCCCCCGCTTTCGATCAGGAATTTCACTACTAGTACTTAGGACACGTTTACTTCATTGGTTAGCAAACGGTGCTTATTAAGACCCGTGTTAATAAGCGGCGCATAAAATAAGTAGTGTTGTAAGCTCATGTTTACTTCAAATGATTTAAAACACCGTTTAACATTTAAATGTCCAAAATAACCCTATAGATATATATACACACACAAACATTCGTGAACACAAGTATATAATATAATATAATATGTGGGGTCACCTTGTACGCTTAGTCGCTTACCCACACCCCTAACCCCTGTACCCCCACCCCTCACCCTACCCCCAATTCCACACCCTTGATCCCACCCCTACCCTTACCACGACCTTACCCTCCACCCCTACTCCCACCCATACCACCCCCAACTCGTAGGGGTAGGGTGGGGTGGGGTATGGTCGGGTCAAGGGTGGGGGTGGGGGTAAAGGTGGGTCGAGGTTGGGTAGGGGGTGGGGTCGGGTCAAGGTAGGGGAAGGTGGTAGGGGTAAAGGGGCAGGGTAAGGGGTGAGGGTGGGGGTGAGGTAGGGTAGGTGGTGGAGGGTAGAAGGTAGGGGTAAGGTGGGGTGGGGTGGGGTAGGTCATGTGGTGGAGGGTAGGGGGTAGGGGTAAGGTGGGGCTGGGGTATGGTCGGGTCAAGGGCGGGGTGCGGGGGTAGGGGTGGGGTCGAGGTCGGGTCAAGGTAGGGGAAGGTGGTAGAGGGTACAGGGGTAGGGTAAGGGGTGGGGGTGGGGTGGGGGGGCAGGTAGTGGAGGGGTCGGGTAGGGGTAAGGTGGGGGTGGGGTATGGTCTGGTCAAGGGTGGGTGGGGGTTGCGGGTCAGGGTCGGGTCGGGTCAAGGGTGGGGTGGGGTAGGGGTGGGGTGGGGTGGGGTCGGGGTCGGGTCAAGGTAGGGGAAGGTGGTAGGGGGTACAAGGGCAAGGGGTGAGGGGGGTGGGGTAGGGCAGGTAGTGGAGGGGTCGGGGTAAGGTGGGGGTGCGGTATGGTCGGGTCAAGGGCGGGGTAGTGGTCGGGTCAGGGTCGGGTCAAGGTAGGGGAAGCTGGTAAGGGGTACAGGGGTAGGGTAAGGGGTGAGGGGGGTGAAGTTGGGCAGGTGGTGGAGGGGTCGGGGTAGGTGGGGTGAGGTATGGTCGGGTCAAGGGTGGAGTGGGGTGGGGGTCAGGGTGGGGTTGGGGTAAGGTAGGGTATGGTAAGGGCAAGGGGTAAAGGTAAGGGTAAATTCGGAAACTGAAAAAGCTTAAAGTGCCGCTTAATTAATACATGGGGGTGCTATGCTTAGTAAGCGGCACTTTAAGCACCTCTTTCGATTAGTAAGTATCGTTTTAAGCAACTTGCGTGTTTACTTCACCTGTCTTACTAACCTAATTGTGACTTTAGCAGCGAAGTAAACACCTCCTTAGAGTAAAATCAATGCCACCGCTTGCGGTCAAGAATTTCACTACTACTAGTTCGGGTAAAATTAGTGCCCCCAACCCGTACAAAAAATTATCAATATTAGATAATTAAGATACTAAAATGTTACGGTTGTATAAATTAAAAGTTAATGCACAATATTTAAATTTGAGCTGAATTAAAATAAAAGATCTCAAAAAAGGAGAAGAAAATAGTTAAGGTTTTTTTCTTTTGATAGAAAATAGTTAAGGGTTGAAAACACAAAGAGTTAAAATGTAAACGGTAACCAAATTAATGTGCGGCCATCTTAAAGTAATCTAAAACAAGTAAAAATTTAAAAATGAAATCCACTAATAACTCACTATTGCTCTACAAGGCAAAAGGGGGAAACTTCCAAAATATAAACTCTCACGGACGTTTACACTCTGGCATCTTTCTAGGGTTTGCCGCTGTCTTGCTAAACTACCTCTGCAGCGCCACACCACCCAATCACCCATTCATTTGTATTTTGCAAGTTTCTTTAGATGATTATCTTACATATTGTTTGATGTGCTACATCGAGAGAGATGTTTTTAAAAGTATTGATAATGAAACTATTATGCAACATTTTCAGAATATGAAAACTCGTAGTATTGATTACCAAAGTTGCAGAAATGAACTATATAATATGTAATTAACTAAAGAAATTGCCCAAAATGAGACTAAAACATAGATAAAAAGCCAAAGTAGGACATACCATCTTTTTTCCCATTATAGG